CCTACCTTTCTTTGAGCAAATGCGCATTTAGTCATTTTGGCATACAGTTGGTTCTTCCTTAGACATTGCAGCATAGACCTCAAATGTACCAAGTGTTCCTCCACGGTTCGACTATAAACCAATATGTCATCAAAAAACACAATCACGAATCGCCGGAGAAATTCCTTGAGCACAGAATTCATTATCCCTTGGAAGGTGGCGGGTGCGTTGGTGAGGCCGAAAGGCATAACCACAAACTCGTAGTGCCCTTCATGAGTGCAAAAAGTAGTTTTATAAACGTCCTGAGTAGCCATTCGGATCTGGTGGTAACCGGATCTTAGGTCCAGCTTGGAGTAAACAGTAGCCCCTGATAACTCATCCAGCATTTCGTCCACTGTGGGTATGGGGAACCTGTTGGGAACAGTAACTTGGTTTAAGGCTCTATAGTCAATACAGAACCTCCAGGTGCCATCTTTTTTTTTAACAAGCAGTGTAGGAGATGAAAAAGGGCTCAAACTGGGACGGATTAGACCATTGGTGAGCATCTCTTTAACCATCTTCTCAATTTTGTTTTTCTGAAAATGAGGATACTTATATGGCCTCACATTCACTGCCTTACTTCCTGGATGTAGATGAATCCGATGATCTTCTTCCCGCTGCGGGGGTAATCCAACAGGAATAGCAAACACCTCATGGAACTCCTGCAAAAGATCATGTACTAGAGGGTCCAAGCTGTCAATCCTTTCTAAAGGAGTTGTAACTTCATATTTTACAGCTTACAGCTGATAGCAATATGCAATGGAATCTGAAGCAGTGAGCCTCTTCAATTGATTCAGCTGAATTGCATCTACTGTAATGCTGGGTTCTCCTTGTATCACCACTAACTCTTCTCCCATCTTGAACTTCATAGATAGCTCCCTGTAGATAATGGTCACATCACCCCATTCGGACAACCATTGAGCACCGAGCACGACCTCAGCCCCTTGAATTGGCAATACATATAAATCAGGGTAGAAATGGTAACCCTGCACTTCGATGGGCACCTTAGGACACACTCTTATGCAATCCATTGTAGCACCATTGCCAACTAACACTTGAAATTTGGGTGCAGGTTGGATGGCCAATCCCAAGAACTTCACTAGTCGATCCTGTATGAAGTTATGAGTAGATCCACCATCTACTAAAATCTGGACAACCGTATGGGTGATCTTGCCTTTCACTCGAAGAGTACTTGTAGAAGGCTGCCCAGCCAGAGCATGATAGCTGATGCCTGAAATCAAGGCTTCCTCCACCACCACTGTATCATCGTTACTCACTGGACTTAATTGGGGTACCTCTTCATTAAATTCATCATCATTCTCATATTGTACCAACATCAGGAACATCTTTCCTTTACAGACATGATTTCTATGAAACTTCTCATCACAATAGTAACATAAACCTTTATCCCTTCGTTCTTGCATTACAACAGGTGTGATTTTTCTGATTGGTAAGGCTGTCTTATCAGCTCCTGAATTAGCCACCAGTGCCTTCGTAGGTGTGGGTAGCAACCCAACAAAATTATTATGGCCAAAAGCTGGGCTGTGCTTAGTGTAATAATTTTTTGATTTTTCACTGACCTTGTCTTCTATCAATTTTGCCAGGTCTATTTCCTGTTCCAATGTCTCAGGAAGGTGCATCCTCACTTCCTTGCGGATCTCCGGTTTCAAACCCGACTCAAAATTGCTTTGTAATGTGACATCATCTATGCCCATAACCTGATTGGCTAAGTGCTCAAATTGGGTTTGATATTCAACTACTGTCGTTGTTTGGGTCAAGCATGACAACTCTCCCCGTAGATCTCGATACTTCGATGGCCCAAATCTGGCGCGAAGTGCCACCAGAAATCCCTCCCAGGTTTGTAGTCTACCATTTCTATCCATCCAGTGATACCATTCTTCTGCGGTGCTGTCCATGTGAAATGAAGTAAGCGTAAACTTCTCTTGGTCACTGAGCTGTTGGAACCCATAGAACTGATGTATCTTGTGAATCTAAGGCTCCGGGTTCCCCCTGTAAATCGGGGTACAGTGAGCTTCACCGATTTGAATGGATTGACTCCCAAGAAATTCTCGACCCCGTGAGATGCAGATCCTTCAATTTTCCCTTTCTGTCTTGCGTCAAGTTTCCCTTCCATTAAGGTTAACTTCAGATTCATCTCTTTGAGCAAGTTGCCCAACGAATTAAACTGCTCTTCATGCCGTGATAAACGATTCATGCATTCATCCATCTTTGTCAAGCTGCGAGTTCCCTCCGCCATGGTTGATTGTGCGAAAGTTGCCTCTCAACGAAAGCACCAAATAATAGGGACTGAATCAATTCTGTATTAAACACTGAAATAAGAAGAAGCAAATACAATTTCTACGACAATTTGAGGTTGCCGGCAACTCCAGAAAAAGAGGTGAAGAAGGGAATGAAGGCAATTACGCTATTCAACGTTCATGCCTATTCTGATCCTCTCACACAAAATATAAAGACAATACCAGAAATGTAAAGATGGGCTATTCCCACTGTCAGGTCCAATACTCCCTCCAGGACTCTTTATTGAATTTGGGCCTAATCCTACCGTTTGGCCCAACATGCCAAACCAACCCATTAAGGTAATATCTATCGGTTACAACTGTTGCAACTCATCCTACAGATAATCTTTCATCCAACTTGGTCGGTCTCTCCTTCTCTTTCCCCTTCGTCTATGCACTTCTCTTTCTCCCTGTACATCATGGTTGGTCTCTGTTACTGCATGACTGATGTTCGTATCACCTGACTTCAATCTTATTCCTTGTAGAAAACATTCCTTGCCCAAATATTCATAAGCTTAAATATTGGTGACAAGAGGAATGGGTCATCAAGGGATTGAAAATTAATAAAAGAAATAATAAAAATAAAATATCAAGTTCATAATAAATAATATTCACAAGCTTATAAGAAAACAATCAACATAGAAATAATGGCCATCATTATAAAGTTTTTTCAAAGACTACCAAGTATCAAGCATCATGCATTTTTTATTTTATTTTATTTAGTGTCATGAAAAGTTTCTGTCTAAATTTTCCAAGGCTGTCCAAGGCTCATTGGAACAATAAAGTATTATGTACATAAACAATAGGTGACCCCAACCTTTTTGACATGCAAATTAATCTGATCTTAAATTAATTAGCATATTGCGTTAATTCTAAAAAATCCAGATTTTGACATGTTAGGACATATTTTGATATTAAATAATATTTTAATTTATGTACTGTATATTATATTTAATATTAAATGATTTAACAAAAAAATAAAGCTAAAATTACAATACTTATCAATTTTGCAAAAAAAATATAAGATATCTCAAATATTTATATTAAACTCAATAAAATGGTAATCGTAATTCAAAAGAATCTAATAGTTGGAACTAAAAACGCAACGCAATGCAACCTTCAAACCTTTTTTTTGAGTCTTTGCAACACGTGTTAGAGTAACAGAGTGTCGAAAAATATCGAAAACGATACGATAGAATTTTTGAAATGTCGGTACATCATAACTGCGCACACACACACACACACATACATACATACATACATACATACATACATACATACATACATATATATATATATATATATATATATATATATATAGGCAAAATGATTTCTGCAGCGGCTGTACCTACAGCAAGCAACACACACACACACACACCGGATCCTGAGTTTTTTTTTTTTTTAAAAGTCGTGGGGCCCACTTTTTTGTGTCAGCTGTAGATAACACTATCTACAGCAGCTGCAGAAATGTTAAGCCCATATATATATATATATATATATATATATATATATATATATATATATAGGGTCAGGATCATTTTACACCAGTGTAAGTTACACTCTTAATCTTGATCGTTGATCATATTTCTATCTAATGGTTCTAATTTATTAGATATTTGAACCGTTAGATTCAAGTAAATCAATGATTTAGATTTGGTGTAAGACTTCTAATTCTTACACTGGTGTAAGAATATCCTGCCCCATATATATATATATATATATATATATATATATATATATATATATATATATATATAGATAATTATGCTTGCACAACATATCTCATATTTCATTCATCTAATATGTCATGAAAGAAATTCAACCATTCAATTTTAAAATTAATATTTCTCACAACAAGTACTAACTTTAAGAAATATATTCGAGATAAATAAATAAGATTTTTTGCAATTATAACATCATTCATAATTAACGACCGTAATTTTTTGAAACTAAAACTATAAAATCCAAGGATAAGACTATGTAAAACAGCATCAACAGTCAACTGAAAATTATCAAGTACCAAAAAACCTCCTACAAACAACTGGAAATCATCAACGTAACAAAAAACCCACGAAGTTTAACCCTAAGCTTTCAATTGAAAATAACTTGAGTCTTATCATTCATTACAAAAAAAAAAAATCAGTTTTATCATAATTAACGACCGTAATTTTTTGAAACTAAAACTATAAAATCCAAGGATAAGACTATGTAAAACAGCATCAACAGTCAACTGAAAATTATCAAGTACCAAAAAACCTCCTACAAACAACTGGAAATCATCAACGTAACAAAAAACCCACGAAGTTTAACCCTAAGCTTTCAATTGAAAATAACTTGAGTCTTATCATTCATTACAAAAAAAAAAAATCAGTTTTATAGTGCTTTTGAAAAGAGATGAAAAATATAAATCATACAATCACAATTAATATTATTCTATCATGTATTAAATATTTATTACAAATTAGTATATTATAAACAACTTATTCAAGACCACGGAATTACAGTAACATCATGTAAGTTCAGCTTATGTAACATGGCAAGCTTCATTTGAAGTTATATGTTTTTATCTTAAAAACAAACAAACAAACACTTGATGGTAGTATATATGTTGTTTATTGTATGTACAAAAACCGGGGTTTAGGCCTAAAATATTATTACCTGCTAGCCTTTGAGCCACTTCTTGTACTACTTAACTTTCACCGCTATCATGATGTAAATACTATGAGTCAAATTGTTCAATATCCTGAAATAAGCATGTCGCAAAGAGCGGTTTACCAGAATTGAGCCAAAAATTCCCCAAAAGCCTATAAAAAATCCAAATGCCATACTCACGTAAAATCCATGAGTAAAAAGCATATATTCATCCTCATGAGATTTGACAATTGGTTGGTTTTGTGGCTTCGCTTCAGTACACAAATTTTCAAGTAGCTTTCCACAAAGATCAAGATTATCTTCATAACTCGAGACATTAAAGCTCTGTAATTGTGTGCCAGTAGGAATTTTTCCAGATAGATGGTTATGTGAAAAATCTAACATTGCAAGCCGATCAATTTGAGCAAGACTGGAAGGAATTGAACCAAAAATCTAGTTTCTTGACAAATCAAGAAATTCAAGTGATGTTAGCCTTCCAATATTTGAAGGAATTTTCCCTGTCAAATTATTTATCGATAAATTCAATGAAACCAATTCAAATAAATTTTCTATTTCTGTTGGGATTTCTTCTGAAAAGTGATTGCTTGAGAGGTCAAGGCAATTTCAAAGAAATAGCCCATTATTCTTGAACATTTGCTCCACACCTTTCCACATCAAGAATGCATTCAAACCAAATGAATCATCACTTAGTCTACCACCAGGGTTGGAAAGATACATATGACCTGGATAATCTCTTGAGGAAGTCTTTTGAGCTATTGAAGTAAAATTTGTGAAGCATTTGGGAATTCGTCCAGATAGGTTGTTCAATGAGAGATCTAAGAGCTGAATGTTTTTTAGATGACAAATTTGAAATGGTATACCTCCAAAAAAGTGATTCCTTCCCTAGCTTAAAATTTGCAACTGTTGTAATTCGCTCCCAATCCAAGAAGGGGTAGGTCTTGATAATCTATTTTCTGATGCATATAGCATTACTAACTTTGTGCAACTCTTCAAAGAGAAAGGGATCCCCTCAGTTAAGCTATTCTTTCTCAAAAGAAATACTTGAAGTTCAGGAAGCAATCCCATTGAAGTAGGAATCTTTTCTGAAAAATTGTTGTGACTCAAATCTAAATAAGCTAATGACTTGAAATGGCTCCAACAGTCCGGAATTTGTCCAGAAAAGTAATTATTTGAAAGGTCTAATTGGGCTAATGTTTCAACTGTACCATTAGCACATAAAAACCAAAGAGAATCTGGAAATTTATTCTTAGACAAATCAAGAGACAGAGAATCTCGTAGAAATGGTGGAATAGAACCATCAAATTGATTTGATGCAAGAGTAAAGGAAAAAGGAGTTTTCTTTACTGGCAAATTTGGAATTGTACCTTTGAGCTTGTTGTATGAAATATTGATGTTCGACAACTCCGATAGTGCAAATTTAGCCCAAAACCACTTTGGAACAATATCTGATATTCCACAATTAGAAATGTCAAGAACTTTGAAGTCATTTTGTGTCTGCAACCATTTGGGAAATGCTGGACCTAGCTTGCAAGATCTCAATCCTATGTCCTGTAATTGAAAAGATGGAATCCAGTTTTTTCTAAAAGCCACAGTCAATGAGTCGTCAGATAAGTCCAACCACTCTAACTTAGACATATTAGCAAAATGGGAGTCACTTATCACACCTTCCAAAGAGTTTGAATACATATATAGTTCCTCCAGTTGAGATGGAAATCGAATATCTTCAGGAATCTTTCCATTTAGCCTATTTTCATTGAACTATAACTCTTTTAAAGATGGGAATACTGAGAGGTCAGGCAATGTGCCGTTGATTTGATTCATGTGTAGATCTATACTTGCGGAGAGTATCTAGCACATCCGGACGAGTGATGGATTATCACTGGAAGCTCTCCACTCAAATTGTTATTGGACAAGTCCAATGAGCGCAAAGCAAATGCGTTCCCAAATGATTTTGGAATTCCACCTTCTAAAGAGTTTGATTTGATAAACAAAGACTCCAACTGAGATGACAATATGCAACCTTCATGTATCTTTCTTAATTGATTTTCAGAAAGATCCAATGTTTTCAAAGATAAAAATATTGAAAGGTCAGGTATTGAACTAGTGATTTCATTATAGCTCAGATCCAACTCTTGTAGTGAGTATCTAACACAGCCACTAGAAATATCATGAAGATTCCAGGGAAGGTCTTCATTCAGATTGTTTTTAGACATGTCTAAAGAACGTCGTAAGGTGCATATATTCATGAAGGATTTCATAACCCCACCTTTGAGTTTATTAAAGGAGAGGTAAAGTCTCTAAAGAGAATTCATCACTATGCCAAAATATTTTGATGGGGGAGCCTCCAAGAGGTTATCACTAAGGTCAAGCTCAACAACGTTGGAACTGATGTTAGACACCCAATGGAGTATCACAGACGACGTGAAAGTGTTTGAGGAGAGATCAAAGACGGAAAAGGAAGCAGAAGAATTGAATTTGGAAGGGCTCCGTGAAAGGATAAAATCATCAGAAAGGCTACAATAAAATAAACTTAATTCTCTTAGTTTTGGTAACTTACCAATCATTTGCATCCGGTAATGAGAACTGTTAAGATCAGATATCCAACTCAAGTACTGAAGATGGGTTAAGATAAAGCTTTTGCAAGTTTGAAAGGTTTCCAAGCTCAAATGGTATATTTCCTTCGAAGAAATTGCCTCTGAGATTAAGGTATGCAACTTGGACAGATTTCCGAGTTGATAAGGGATTGAACCCTCCAAGTAATTCCAGCCAAGGTTTAAGTATTCCAAATGAGGAAGGGACCCAAATTGTCTGGGAATTTCTCGCCCAAAATAACAATATGACAGATCAAGGTATCTAAAGTTAGACAGAGAACCAAAGAAAAATGGGATCTGGATACTTCCAAAAGAATTCCAACTGAGCCTCAAATACTTCAATTGCTTCAACTCTATTATTGACTTGTGGATCGTACCACGGATGAAAACTCCTTGACCGTGAAGGTCGAGTATTAGTATATTGGAATACTTCGTTCTAGAACCGGTTTGTTAACATCACGTATGACATTAGGCGCAGTTACAATCACAATAATTGAGTTAAAGTACGGATAAACTTTTTCCTTTTTATTTATAAACGTTTATTTTAAAATCAAATCCGTAATTAAAACAATTCTCATAGCTGTAATCGTAACTTAAACTATGTGTGGAACACCTAATGTAATTTCATTTAAACCATACGTTACCACTATAGTGTGCCAAGTAGTCCCCTTAGATCAACAAGGCTTAAAAACTCATTTTTATTATTATTTAACATTAAAAATCTATACTTTTTATTTATTTAATAAATTCTTATACCACTTTTATGGTCCTCATCTTCCAATATGTTATAGATTTCTTCGTTAGCTACGCATGGGTTCAAACCGCGCTCAAATCGAAGCACCGTAGCTCAAGTTATGAATTTTTGAAGAAAAAATGCTGAATTTCACAGGGATTCTGCGCTGGCAGCGCCAAACCCGCGTGATAGCGCCAACTTATTGATTTTTTTGCGTCTTATGGCACCGACAGCACCAAGTTGGCGCTGATAGGGCCAACCTACTATTTGGTGGCGCCAAAAACGTCACGGTTCTGGAGATTTCACTATATTTTGGTATTTTATCCATAACTTTAGTTATACTTATCCGTTTGACGCAATCTTGGTCTTGTTGGAAAGCTAAGAAAAAGATCTATAATTTCTGTTTAGACACAAGGGTCAAAATCTATCATATAGCAAATGAAAAATGGAGAACAAGACATGACATCTTTATTTTTACATTAATTCCCAAACTAAAGGTCTTCTTTCACCTAATTGGCATTACATAACTACTACAAGACATCATCCTTACAATTTTAAGACACACATTTATCAAAAAGGCATCCATGCCCTTCCATCATATATACAATAAATACAACATTACAATATCCAAATTTCTTTAATACATAATCATGGGACTTAGATACAAAACACTATGATCAAATCCTTGGCTCCCATCAACAAAAGAGACACCAAAGGAGATAAGCATAGGCTAAGTCCACCAAAATAAAACATGATGTACACATATCAATGGCTTTCAAATATAAATCCTATACATAGGAACTACAAAATGACATGCATAACCAAAATAATGTAATATCCTCATGCATCAATCTAATCCAAGTATGGCCACTTGCCACCAGAGGCTCCTACAACATCTGTACTCGAAAGGGGGTCCCCACAATACGGGATGAGATGTACGAATACATCTCAATAAATCAGGGGTCCTTGGAGCATTTCTCCACCCCATAGTTCACTCATAGTATAATAGCAATAACCGTAAATAATGCAGTAAATACACATCAATGCAGTGTGTAAAACATCTCCAGGAGACATCCCTCGAGCTCTCATGCTGTCCTAAGGATACTCAGATGCAAAATAGTCCTACTGGCCAGCTAAACTACCAAGTATGAATTACGCATCGTCATGCAACATACAAAACATAGGGAAACACCATCATATGCCACACAAAATGCATACATATACGTAAAACAAAGCATTAAACTACCTTATTGCGTATACAACACTATTAATAACCACTACCCATTCAGGGCTTGGTGGAACAATTAAGGGATCAATTTCCAAGGTCCGAAGGCTTACCTCAATTTGCTTCAAGTCCAGCCTTTGTTCACCACCAATGAGAAATTGACCAAGCTTTACAACAATACCAACAACCTTACAAACAAACACCTACACAAGGTGTAATGCAATCAATCTATTGCATCCAAGAATATCTCAATATTCATCAATCAAACAATCAAATTCACACCACAACTAAGGCATGAACTTACATATTCCAATGAGCTAGTCAAGCTCCATGGCTTCCTCCAATGGTTGGTCTTTCAATGTTGGTCCACAAGGCTCAATCCTATCATCACAAGGGACACAATCAACCATCCAATTCCCAAAATTCTCAAAATGCTAGAAAACTCACAAGCCCAAGCATGAGTTTTCCAATATATTGAACAACAACCAAATGACAATCTAAGTCCTTTTCTACCATTTATTTATCATTCCTAACAACTTTTACAAAAGGATTTAGCACCAATTTAACTCAAGCATACTCCATTATTCAAGCATTTTCTTAAAACAAAACCCTAATGCACATATCTTCCAAAATGACAACAAGAGTTGGAGTTCTTTCCACAAATACAACCCCAAGGGTGTAAGGAAGAGGCACCAAGCTCAAGAAATCAAGACTTCACCTCTAGCTACACTATCTCCAAATTTTTGCCCCTCCCACCAAGAATTTCTCACTCCACAATGGCTCCTACCCAAAACTAAGCTAGGATTAAGGATGAGGGGAAAATTTGAAGTGGTTTAGGCTTTGGAATGGAAGGATTTAAGCAAGAAATGGAGGAGTTAAGTTTTAGAGCTCATTAGCTATGGCTTCCCTTCTCCCCTCCCAGATTCCGCGAAGAAGAAGAATGAAATGAATGTGTTTTCGTTAGTTTTGTCACTTAACATAGGTTAAGTGACTTTAACCGGGTATGAGCTCATCTATCTATTCAACTCCGTTCTCTTTCAAACTTTACCCAAAGGTCTGAAAGATTTTTCTAGGAATATTTTCACTTTTACTTTTATATTTTGGGTACTTTTGCCTACACCCATTTTTAACCCATAATTTTCACTGAGTGCAATTTTTACCTCAAAAGTGACCCCAATTCACTTAATTAGACATTTTACCTAATTCAACCCACTAATACAATATTAATTGCCTAATTACATGCATTAATTAAATTTCATGGTGAGAGATATTATATATATGGCCAATGAGGTTGCTATAGCGAATTCCTTTCCATTGGCAACAATCTACACTCGTCCATGATGACATCGTGCCATACTCATCCACAAGCCAAGCCTTGAACTAAAGGACTGCTTCTGTCTCCCTCTGTATGCACCGAACCTCTTTTGCACAAACAAGGTTCACCTGCAACACCAAACATATCATAAATACAGCTTGAATGAATTTCAAACAAATTGGATTCATCATTGATATTGTTGTCAAGATAGTGATGAAGTATTAGATTGATTGTATTCAGCACTGTGTTGCCAATAGTCGTGTATTGTTAGCTACAAATTATGCTTATTTTAATGACTTTATTTTTATAACATTTGGGCTGAAGAATGGTTACAAGTGCAGGATATTGGGCCAAATAACACCAATTCAGCCTAACAAGGTAAAAAATGAGAAAATGTGCTAAAGGGATGACTTACTCACTTAAATCATCATTTTTCTTGAAGTAAAAGTGATATGTCGGCCAACTCTTTGGAAGTGAGAACAAATCTGAACCGTTGGATAAGGACAAGCATGGATGGACATCAATGAATCTTTGGATCTGTGGTTATTTTTAGTTAAGTAGAGGAATTAGACTTATGACTTTTCAGATTTTCAGTTTTAGTTTCTCAATTTCCAGAAGTTCATTTTTTACTTCTTGAATTTTGGTTTTAGCTTTGTTGGCTCTGTACGCACATGCATGGTTCTTCTCTTGAAGGGATTCAAGACTGAGTTGAGTTCTACGTTCAAGCTTTGTATGATTAGTTTCATTCCCTTTTCAATTTCACTTTGAAGAAATCTGGTTTGTAATTCTTGACTTTTACATTTCAGCTTGGTAAGAAAGTACAATGTTCTTTGTTGCATTGAGTTTCTTTATTCCTTTTACTGTTAATATGGCTTGCTAATTTTTCTTTTCTAGAATTCAAGATGATTCTTTACTTTTATGAACACTGTGATGTTTTCTTTAATCTCATTTGATTAGCAAGTTTTCGATTTAAAGTTCAAGAAAACCATGGGAATAGATCTTGGAATATTTTTAGCATAATTGTGATTGAGAAATCAGGTTATGTTCTTTTGCTAATTAAACCCTTGAGGTTAGGGATAACCCAAGGAGGTATTTGATGTAATTCTTGAAGATTCAAAAGACTTTGGGAAAGGACCCTTATAAGGAATAAATCTGGAACTGAGAAGTTTCATCTAAAATTGCCATAGTAGTTCAAATTTTGTTATTAAAGTGCCTCAAAAGTGAAAAAATGCAGAGATGCAAAATTCTTCGAAAAAATCCATGATTCAAGAATTCCAGTACCTTATAATTGCTGCATTTGTTGATTAGATATTTCTGTCATTTTTGTTGAATACAAATTTGATAAAAAC